AATAATAAATTAATAGAATCAATGAAGAAATGAATATTGATTTATAAATTAATAAAATTAATAAAGTAATAAAATTAATAAAGTAATAAAAATTAATAAATCAATAGAAATCTAATAAAATTAATAGAAATCAATAGAAATCAATAGAAATCAATAAAATTAATAAAATTAATAAAATTAAATAAAAATTAATCAAAATTAATAAAAATTAGTAAAATTAATAAAATTAATAAAATTAATAAAATTAATAAAATTAATAACAAATTAATAACAAATTAAAAATAAATGAAAGAGTAATGAATATTAATGAAAATTCATAAGAATTAATAAAACAGTTTCTTCTGCAAAACTTGAAGTGTCTAATGATTGAATGAAAAGAGTTTTATTGCCTTCAAATGATCGGTTCCGCATCCTTTGTGTGATCGCGGTGCCGTCCCGTGGGTCCTCGCCGTTTGCCAGAGTCTCGTTCAGGGCGAGAGAGTACAGGAGCACGGCGTCATGAAAGGCACCCACGAAAGCGTTTACCTGCAGTAGCATCAAAGGTATGGTGAAAACAATCGGAAGATTTAAAGCTCAAAGGTGCCAGATTATACAGTGCAATTTCCGGAATACAGTGCAATTTTACGGAATACAGTACAATCTTATTAGTATACAGTACAATTTTATGGAATACAGTGCAATCGTATTAGTATACAGTACAATATTATGGAATACAGTGCAATCCTATTTGTAAACAGTGCAATTTTAAGGAATACAGTACAATCGCATTAGTATACAGTGCAATTCTACTAGTACAATTGCACTGTATAGAGCTTATTCACCACACGTCATCATGACGTCACGACCCCTCATGTCCCGTGCGACGCCATTTTGGGGCTACAGCGCCTACAGCGAGTTTCCAAGCATTGAAATGGCCGACAAACGTTAGGTAAACTGTCCTTTGTCCTATTACACGAAGAGTTTACCACCACTCATACCTCTCGTTACTGGAACAAAATAAAATCTGTTGGGATTGACCCGTTTTTGTTGAGTTTTGATCAGTCTGATCGAGACGGCGTCTACCGCCAGCGGAGTCCATTGACGCGACTTAGCTTCGTATTTGGTACTGGGCCGAAGTTTTTACACACAACATCGGTTCAAACCCTCTAAGAGTCTGGAAGCGTTGTATCAGGATGTGTACTAGAGAGTGTTGTGGGACATGCAGTTGCGTGGTGACAAGTACGTTGTAGTCGGGATACGCAAAAGGTCGCTATTTTGGAACAGCCCCGGACTGTGTCTGGATAATAACAGACAAATGCGGGGCCATCGGCCGCCGGCCGCCATCCTCAGTCCGCACTGCCGCGACTGTGGCTGGACAAGGTGAGTGTTACAAGTTGCCAGTGCCCTGTTCTACATGGACATTTACCACAGAGTAAAGGGACAGGTAGCTTCAACAGATTTAACGTGTCCATGGCTATCCACGTTGACATCTACAGGGGGCGATCTACAGGCCCCTACGCCAGGGTAAAACACACCGATTTCTGATCAGCAAAAAAAGATAAAAGCCGATCTTGAGAACATGAGACGTGGACATGGAGCCAGAACAACCCCAAGGACAATGTTACTAACAAGAAGAGTGTTCAAAACGTAGATTGTGGCCCAAAATGCGCAACTATCGCCAAGAGTTTGCATAGCGTGCCATAGCGATAGGCACCATGCTGCACCCCCTAATGGCGGACAATGCTCGCTGCCGGGGGAAGAGTCACGTGACCATCTGTGGTGAATAAGCCCTATACAATAAAAATTGCACTGTATACTGATGCGATCGTACCGTATTCCGTAAAATTGCACTGTATACTAGTAAAATTGCACGATATTTCGTAAAATCGCACTGTATTCCGTAAATGTTAAACAGTTGAAGTAAACTACAATCACACAGAGATTTTCCACTCAAAATGTTTCAATTCTTTTGCAAAAAGAATTGAATAAAAATAAAAGATGAAAATCCATATTCGTTAATTGGAGCAGCTGCCGAAGTGGCTTACCAACTTTGGCCCGTACGTGTAGTTGTGGTTCTGTTTAGCCATCATCTTCACTCTTTCGGAAAAGTCGATGTAACTGGTACTGTTCGGAGTCTGCATGGTGATGATCATCAGAGCCTGAGGGAAACACGGCAAGGAATTTTTTTTATTAGGCCACAGCAAGTAATTTTTATGGATGACATCAGCGCGTGCCTTAATTTTCGCCTGATTTTGGGAAAAAACAAGAAATTTTGTTGCTTTCTGACAGTGGTCAACATGCCGAAAATGGGCAAAGATGTCTGTTGCGAAGGTGGATGGCAGATAACTATCAACAGAGGAGACAAGAAAAGGGTCTGATTTAATGTTTTGTTTCTTACTTTGATGCAGTGATATGTGATGTTGGCTGTGTATGTGTGATGTTCCCACTGAATAAAAACCATTTGTGCAATGATTAAGTTAACATTTTTAGATGAAGGAACCTTGTTTTTTTTGGCCGCCTTGTTTTTTTCGCCTGCTCGCATTAGATTCGGAGTCTGTGGAGGCCAGAAAATTGACGCATTGGGTGCCTTTGATATTATGTTGAGGACAGATTTCCAAACCAGGGCCCGGTCGGGCAGTCTTATGGAACGAAAAGAGAAAGACGACAAAGCACAAAAAAGTTGAAAAATTCAATAATGGGACCTATACGTATATCATTGTTATAGATTGTTGATTTTTCGTTAATCAAAACAGCCCGGCCGGGCCCCGGTTTGGAAATGTGACCTCGGCATTACCTGGTATGCCTGTTTAGCGTCCCGGTCTCTGCCGTCCCCACGTGACCAGCTGCCGTACCCGATCTCGTCGCTAGGGAACAAGTCGATGTCGAAGAAGGCGTATTCCCCGGATGTTAGTCCCATGTCGTGCGCCTGGAGAAGTATGGTGCGAACGGCGTCGGCAGACACGCACAGAACCACGACTGTAGGGGAGGCAATGTCATACTTTTATCACCTGTCACACATTGCCGAATTTGGCCTCCCGAACACTAGCCACAACACCTCCCCAATCCCACCCCCAACCATGGTTAGGAGTAGGTCTGGAGCAAGGTCGAATGGTGTTCAGCCAGGTCTACTTCTGTTCAGTTGAGTTAGCTGAAAGTTTCAAAATGTGTAAAAAAAAAATTGGGGGAAGACGGGAGGTTCGGACATGGTTGAGGGCTGGTTGGCTGGTGGTTGGGAGTAGATCAGCAGCAGACGTGCCAGAGGCGTGGTTGGCAGTCAAATTTGATTCAAATCTGATCGAAAGGTAGGCATGACCTAAATCTGGTCAGACCAGTGCCACCTGTTAAAAGTCACAAAATAATCTAGTCATTATTCTGCAGCACAACACCTCTCTCCGCAAAAGTTGAGCAACTCTGGTGATTAGCTGATTTGACATATCCTCACAGTGCCATCAGCTGCCACACCTGCACAAAAAGCCCCAGAATTTAAAATTTTAGGCTCTAGCATATGCAAGGCACGCAAAGGAAGACACTGTGTCAATTTGCTCACTAGACTGAAGGAAGACCTGAAGCACAGACGGCTGAGCCTTCCTATAATACAAATGGAACTCAAAGAGCTAAGGGAGCTCGCGAGGCACAGTGGAAGAGAAGTGTCTCGCGACACAGTGGAAGAAGAAGAAAAAAAGACTGAATGCAGCAACAGTACGTTTTTAAAACTCAGTTGCAGAACACAGTGGGAGCGAAAGAGATAAAGAAAGAGAGAGGGGCAGAGAGACTCAACAGACAGTCTTCTTTTTAATCTTTCTTTATTGAATTTTCCAAAATAAATTAACGGTAACAAAATATGGCATGGCATTGTGCAAAAAGGAATACATGGTGAACCACAAAAACAAAACTCAACAGACAGTCTTAGTAAACAGATCCTGGTCGTTATCAACTGGCACCTCCGAAGACAACAATGCAATCTCTGCTCTTTCTGGTGTCATGTTCCTGCCTCAAGATTAAAACCGATTATGTTTATTCAGGCGTTATATTGGCACTGTGACTAAGGTAAGTGTAATTCGCTTTCATCCCTCTAGACATACACAGACATATCGACCATCTTGACCTGATCGGCTCTTTGATAGCCTTGTACGAACGGTGGTGACTTGTACGTACTTTTTGTTGTCTGGTTGTCAGTAAGTGTGGAACCAAACGTAGTTGTGTTTAAAGCAGTGATTAAATGAGAAAAAAATACAGCTTGGGTGGTCACGAGGAAGGGTGCAACTTATGAAGGGCTTTGTGATACAGAAACATAAGCACGCAAACATGGACATAAACAATAACGAGGGCTTCACAAACAAATACAAGAATGACAAAATATCTTTGGTTAATTTTAAATTGCCTCCGATGTCACAAATTCAATTTCACCGGTAAAACAAGGAGTATTTATCAAGTAGACATCAACTCATTTTGCTGCTCTTAGATTTCCTGCGCTGATTTTGACCGAGGTGTTCGAAATAGAACAGGGGGGTTCGACGTGTTCGATCAGGAAAGGTCCATTGTGATGGTGAACAGAACCTTAGACACGGCTATCATTGCAATTTCAGGGCGGCAAAACTGGGCTTATAAAAGTCAATTTTCTGGCCATTCTTTTGATTTAATGTAGTAAGTTGAATCAATCTTTTACCATAGCATACTGATATCTGTGAGGCAAAAATATGGTGTCGCTAGGTGACTGAAAACGGTTGCTTGTTTTGTATCGTTGGCTGGTTCTAGCTATTATTACCCGAAAAATCTCCCGTAGCTTGTTTTGGGGCTATTTCAAACGCTTCTAGTATGGAACGATGACGAAAATGTGCTAAGAAATGGCAGTTGATGTCAATATTAGACAGATTTCCTCATCCGGAATATTTTCGCTTTGCCACCATGAAATTACATCGGATGCCTTCAAGGGCCCCTGTATCGTTGAAAGTGTTTTCTCACAGTGTTTTGATTCATAACACCTATTTCTCAAAGCTTTTGGGAGAAACGTCTTCCACATTATGATTTCCAAGTTAATCAGTGGAAATCCATATGGGAAGCACCGTTTAGAATCACTGAAGAGCCGAAATTACGGTCATTACAATGGAAAATTTTACACAATATATATCCAACAAGGGTCAGTCTTTATAAACAAGGTATAGTAAAAATGATAGGTGTACTGTCTGTGATTCTGTAGAACATAATGAGCATTTCTTTTTCGAATGTACAGATGTCAAACCATTATGGTCAGAAGTAGAAAAGTGTTTTCTTTTTGAATATGGCCACACGCTAGTGTTAACCATACGAGATATAATTCTCGGATATAACCTTTCTGATGTAAAATTCAAACACTTCAATGAACTGATATTGGTTGGGAAAAATACCATCTCTAAATTTAAATATGGAAGTAGTCGAATGGATATAACCTCACTGTTTAAAGCAGAATGTTTATTAAGAAACCTATGACAAAATGTAATCATTGTATATTATGTTACTAGCTTGCACTCGTGTACTTGTACTTTATGCTTTATGAACAACAATAAAGTTAAAAAAACACCAATTTTCTCGCCACTTCGACCCCTGAACACGACCACTGCTTGCCCTCTCTTCCTGGTGGTGCCAATGACTTGTACAAAGGATGCGGATTTGCACTGAAGAATGTGAGTCAGAGATGTGCATTTTCACAGAGGAATCTTTGATGTGGAATAAGGCTAAGGACGAAGCATTTGTCTTACAGCAAGGCGTGAAAACGAATGTCGGTAAGAATGGGATAGGGATGTGTGATGCGAGTTTGCACTGAAGAATGTAAGATGTGCATTTTCACAGAGAAGAATCTTTGATGTGGAATAAGGTTAAGGACGAAGCATTTGTCTTATAGTAAGGTGCCATGAATGGGAGAAGGATGTGTGATACTTGTGCTGAAGAATGTGCGATGTGGATTTGTACAGAAGGATTTATATATAAGGTGTAGAGTAGGCTAGGGACAAAGTATTTGCCTTACAGTAAGGTGCTATGAATGGGCGAGGAACGTGTGATGCGGATTTGCACTGAAGAATGTGCGGTGTGGACTTGCATAGAAGAATCTGTGATGTTGAATAAGGCTTGGGATGAGCCACCATTGATCAACGGCCCACACTGTTTCACTGGACAAAGTCAGAATACTGGACACTGAACAGGACTAGTAGCTATTTTCTGAGAGGTATGTGTGATGCGGATTTGCACTGAAGAATGTGCGATGTGGACTTGTTCAGAAGAATCTATGGTGTAGCATAGGGTAGGAATGATTCATTGATCAACGACAACGGTCTATACACTGTTTCAATGGACAAAGTCAGAATACTTGACACTGAACAGGGCTAATAGCTATTTTCTGAGAGGTATGTGTGATGCGGATTTGCACTGAAGAATGTGCGATGTGGACTTGCATAGAAGAATCTTTGATGTTGAATAAGGCTAGGAATGAGTCATTGATCAACAATGTCTACACTGTTTCACTGGACAAAGTCAGAATACTTGACACTGAACAGGGCTAGTAACTATTTTCTGAGAGGTATGTGTGATGCGGATTTGCACTGAAGAATGTGCGATGTGGACTTGTACAGAAGAATCTATGGTGTAGCATATGGTAGGAATGAGTCATTGATCAACGGTCTATACACTGTTTCACCGGACAAAGTCAGAATACTGGACGCGACGGGACTAGTAGCCTAGAGAGGTATAAAGGAGGCTCCATATGTTTCAGGGCACTCCAGCTATCACTAAACTGAGACGGTGGACGGTACAAACTTCCTGTCACGCTTGTTCAGTTGCTGACGTCACGTATCCGTAAAGTCTCGTGTGACCAAGGTCACGTGTCTGTAACTCTCGCGGGTTTACATCAGGAAGTGATTGGTCATTGTTTATTCTGACGAACTCGACAGAGGTCGTTGAAATAAAAAAATCCCTGTGTACCCTCTGTGTTGGAATGAAGTTTAGCATCGTACTAGGGATGTGGTATTGTCTTACAGTAAGATACTACGCTAATTGAGGTCAATTGTTTTTCCAAGATGTTTAGATCGGGCACCGGCAATCGTCTTATGCTGCAGACTCTTTGGAATTATTATGATGGACGGTTTTTCATCATTTTGTCCAAACATAATTGAAAATGAGCACCATTTTAGAATGGATTGCACAATATACAATGATAAGCGCCTATTGCTGTTCACTTGTCTTTTCACTTGTTCAACTGATTTCAATACGTTAGATCCTATAGATAAATTCAACTACATTCTCAGGGGAGATAACCAATACAGTATTCAAATAGGAAAATACATTAAAGAATGTTTCGATCTTAGAGACGACATGTTAGAGAATAGTTAAACCTCTATTGTTACAGCATACATTATACTCTGTACGTAAGATTGACGTTATCCACACATGTATTTAGCTTTGTTAGATCTTTAGTTGTAGAAGACCATACAAAAGTCACTATACTTTTTGTTGTGTCAATAAAGAATCTGTTTAAAGAACCCCTTTGTTGACTGGAAGAAATGACAAATCACTTACAAATCTACAGAACACCATTCAGATACCTGATGGCAATGTTACATATAGGATAGCGCCATGTATATATTGTTGACATGAAGAAATGCGGCGTCACTGACAAATCTACAGAACACCATTTACTACCTGATGACAATGTTACATACAGGATAGTGCCATGTATATATGTATTGAGGTTACAGTTAGGGGCGCTGAATGTGTCTTCGCGGTGTCAAGGGTCTGACATGATGGAAAGGGAAGCTCGTCCCTCTCCTTCGGTGAAAGCCCGCGTAACCTCGGTACTCATCTTTGTCAAGTGGCGTTCCCAAGGGCACAACATCGGCCGGTCCCGTTAGTCTAAACTCTCCGTCACACACAGACGAATGTGGCCACTAGCCGAACTCCCCTAACCATAGAAAGAAAAATTCACTTTCCTCATGAAACTCGATAATCCT